TCTCCTCGCTATCGCCATCACGACTCTAGCTGGAGACAATTTCTTCACCATTTTCCGCAAGCAGCAGCTAGCGCAGCAATTTCGCCATCCCTGAGTGTAGGAGATGGAATCCGTTCGATTAGCTCAAAAACTCTTCGTTGTGACTAGAGGAGTAGCAGGGAATATTCTACCGGAAGCCCTTTGACTTTCCTGACTGCTGAAACCCTTCCTGCCATGACTGCTACTTCTTCAAACAAGCGGGATTCTCTTTGGTTCCACTTCACTGCACTCGAGCGTCCACGCGACACAACCTTTTTTACAAAACATCATTTTTCTCAAAAATATGATTTCACCCTAAGCCTGGTTTTCGCATTTGAGTATAATGCCACTTGTGCGGAAATGTAGTGTTGTAAGCTAGCATTATACCTCACTCCATATACACCCACACTCATATACCAGATCTCCCATGAAGTTTATAAATTTGCATATACACTGTTCAATATACACCACTAAGGAGGTATATACACCACTAACGAGGTATATACACCACTGAGGAGAACCATCAGAAAAAACTCACTGAGGAGCTTTCTTTCTCTAAAAAGGAGTGTATATAGCTTTCTTTCTCTAACGCTACATTCACTCTTTTCTAGGGAAAGAAAGTTACATTCACTCCTTTTTGCTCTTGAGCTTGCGCATGGAGAGGTATAAATATATTATAGCAAGGGACCTCGTGTATATCGAGAAATATCGACCAGTTATAAAAACCTCGGCTTCGCCTCGGTTTTTATACTGGTCTATATTTCTCGATATACACTCGGTCCCTTGTTATAATGCTAGCATAATGCTCGTTGCAAATCGCACACTATAATGCTACTTATAATGCCCATTTTCCGCCCAGGCCTATAAACAGGACTATGACAGGGGAAAAACTGAGCTAGAATGATGATATAATAATCATACTAAGTAATTATAATTATCATCATTCTAGCTCAATATTATACATGTACGATGTAGCTCATGGGTATTGAAGATATGTCATTTATGAATATGTCTATAATTATGATTATCACTCCCTTAGTATTGACTCACATAGATATTTGCCATACCCAAGCAGTCAGATATTCAAAATCCATGATTGCAGCCTGGAGCTCAGCTCAGGGGTCAGATGGGCAATAACAAGGATCGATTGACCAGTGCAATCTCCGCACCAGTCATGGGGTAACGAGGATTGCGTTCCACGTAATACACACTGAGACCTAAACTTTCCAGCCAGACGATTAGTTTCTCTAGGCGTTCACGAATAGACGACTCTGCTAAGTTGTGAATCTCCATCAGCAGCAGATGAACAGGAGGAAAAGCAGTCTGTGCACTATTCATGTAGTATTCCAATGCGTTGTACTCACTGCCTTCAATGTCCATCTTGAGTAGATTGAGTTTCCGTCCCGCGTGACCATGCTGTTTCATGAGCTCCGTCAGCGTGTCTCCCGCCATACCGACCATGTCTTTCTCTGCCACTCCGTCTCCTCCACCCAGAGCCTTTGCAACACAGTGCATGTTAGGAGCCCGGCAGCAGTGCGCTTTCTTGAAGAACTTCTTGGATGTCGGATCGAACATGAGAATTTTGCAGTTGGGGAAATCCCGGTGCAGCTGTATCTCCACCTTACATGTGGATGCAACGCCAAAGCTATAAACAAGACACTCCGAACTGGACAGGAACTGCTGGACGTTGCAGAGAGTTTTTCCGCCGTCATCCAATGCGCCGTATCGTGTTTGAAGACAGGACGTGGTCGGAGTCAAGCCCTGCAGAAACAAGGACGCGCGCATCGCCTCCATCCATTCATCCTGACTCCAAGGGCGCCAGATCTTAGAGAACGTGTTATGACGTGCCGCCGCCCAAATGGCCGTCCTTTTCCGGCCCACCAGCCTCACGACGCCAAACGATGGTTTGCCAGTTGTACAAACTGGTTGCAGCAGAGGTCGATGCTGGCGTGCAGCATTTCCAGTAGCAGTCAAATCCCAAAGTGAAAGTGATATCAGCAGAGCACACGTCACTACCAAGATGGCGCCAACGATCAGGACTTTCCCTAGACCTGGAGCAAGCATTATGATAATTATTGATTATTATGCTGCGTGGCGTTCGTGCTATGGGGATGACTGAAGCAACGCCCTGGACCGTTTGTAATTATGGCTGGCTCTCTCTCTCTCTCTCTGTCTCTGTCTGTCTCTCTGTCTCTCTCTCTCCCTCTATCTTTCACTATCTGGACGGTAATACAGCAAAGGCTGGTTGATTGGTTGAATAGCGATACGAAACTGGACCACTGGTTGACGCTGGCTAGAACACACCCATGCATCCAATTAACGTGAGAGTTCAACTTCAGGAAAAGCTAACCTTCACACTGATCTAGCTGAGAATAGACAGGCCGAAAGCTGCTGCTCTCCTATTTGAGAATCTCTCGCAAGTAAAAGAGCTCCTATGTCTTACCGAAAAGATCACATCTACATGCAATGACTTGGGGGCTGA